AATTAAGCTTCATACTATATAGGTGGGGCAGATATATTATTCTCATTTAACACTGGGGGAAACTGAGGCACGGGGCAGTTAAATGACTTCCCTGAGGTCACACAGGGAGGCAGTTGCAACATCAGGAAGAGACCTCTGTTGTCCTTTCATCCAACCCCCCATTTCTAATCACTAGATTTTTCTCCCTCTTGGGGTCTAATCTAGTTTTGCTGTGATGGTTCCACCCAGGACCCTCTTGCAGTGCTATATAATAGTAATGCAGGGGTACCTTTTGCTGTATAAATGGGGCCCAAACCTCTGTGCATGTTGGAGGAGGCAGGAGAATATCTCCCTGTTAACATACCTCTTGCTCTCCTTTCTTTTCCAGAAAAACAACAGGTCCGATTCACCTCTCATTTATACCAGTTTCAGAACTGAGATAACTCCACTGATACCCATGGAGCAGTTATTCCTTAGTTGCCCTGTCGTAAGTGAGAGGACACTCAGGCCGTGTCTTCCACTCTTTCGAAGAGTTAACTTGTCATTCACATATTTCATGTCTGTTTTACATAATACTTTGGCTTGCAGAGCTAAGCAGAAAGATGTAACCCTGCCCTCTGCTCCAGCTGGCTGGAACCTTCTCGGATGTTGTTTGAAACTATAGGACGCCTTACTAATGTTGTTGTAAACCATAGGAAGCCTTACGAATGACCCCATTTTAGCAGAATGCAGGCCAAGACATACACATTCCTTAGTAGAATAAAATTAAGGGCAGGATAGGTACACTGATGAAAGCTCTCAGCAGCATGCTCGTCTCGGTGCCAAGGAGATTTAGCCCGATCTAGAGAAAAGAGGGGCCACCTTAATTGGGTTCATGTCAGCTTCACCACAAAAAAGTGAGATCACAATATGGACTTGGGGAAGTATTGTTGTAACAGATTAAGGACCCACTCTGGCTCCCGTGAAAAGCAATGGGAAGAGTGCCATTAACTTCCATGGCAGATGGATCAGGCCTTATGGTGCTGAGCAGCTCCTGTGAGTTGCTAAGCGCCCACAACTCACACTGAAGTCAGTGTGCCTCGGCACCAATCAGGCCTGCCCTCCTTAGAAGGGCCACATCTATGGTATTTCTAAATAAGAGAACAACTGGTATTTTACTACAATGCGTAATGCTCAGTGAACCAAACAGGAAAGATTCAATAGGTGCTGTTAAGTGGGAGAAGGAAAACCACATCCCTGTCCACACCTTTGCTATTTCTCTCAAATGGGATGGCAGGATCAGCGAGCTGGAGGCACTGAGTGCCCGTGTTACAAAACACAAAAGCTTACATAACAGCAAGGAGGTCACTGTAGTCATTAACCTCGGCTCAGTGCCAGGTGCTTTGTTCTGAAGTCACCTGCTTGTTTGGTTTAAATGTATAAATGGTATGTTAGAAAAGGAGAAATGTTCCAACCTCCTCCTACCACCGACCCTGTAAATCAGGAAATCCCAGGGGAAGGAAGCAGAGAGACTGCAACAATCCTTGGTGTGCGACAGTCCTCACAGCAATGAGAAACAAATATACACAAATATTGAAATCCTCACAGGGGGTCAGTTCTGCCACCCTTAATCACATGAGTCAGCCCATTGAAGCTAGTGGATTGATGTGCATGGATATTGACCACGCCAAATCAGAGCCCGAGACCAGGCCTGATTCTCCCATCACATGGGTGTAAATTGGGAGTAATTCCGCTGAAGCCAATGGAGTTACACTGGTATAAAACTGATTTAAGTAATAGGGAGCCAGACCCAGTGAGTTTGGCCTGGCTAAGTAGTGAGCCATGACATCAGGATCTTGGCAAACTGGTTCTTTTTCTCTCCTTGGCATCTTTTCCCATTGTAATAATTATCAGTACAACCTAACTTTATCTAGTGCCCTGTTCTTACCTTCTCTTATCTGATGTCCTGCCCTTAAGTTCTTTTACTCTTTGGCTTCTGTAATCTAATGTGTGTTATCTACATGTGGTCCGCTCCAGTGGGTAGAGAATAGGACTAAGTTTCATGACTTCTTGTTTCTATTCCCATCTCTACCTCGGCCTTGCTGTGTGATCTTGGACAAGTCACTAAACCATTCTAAGCTTCCATTTAGTCAATGGTAAAATAGATATACAGGTCTGTCGCATCTTAGGCGCATTTAACATGTGCGATTTCAGCTTTACACGGTCGGCAAAAACAAAAAAAAAGAGAAACAATTTAAATACTGTTTCTGTAGTGTGGGCGATTCCGCCTGCCATTATACTCAATGTAATTTTGACTATATGCGATTTTCGCTTTAGGTGCTGACTGTGGAACGTAACCCCAGTGTAAGATGAGACAGACCTGTATGTCAAGCGTGTTCATGTCAACATCTATTTATTGTTATGGCTATGCCCCACCTGCATTTGACTTTATCAGACTTCATTTCTTACCTTCTATCATTTAATGTGTTTTTTTCTGCTAAACTCTGAAGAAATTAAGATGACAGCAACCAAAAATGGCCATTAAAATATTTTAGAGACGCATACAAACCTTGGGATCATGACAATCATCTTATAGATTTATGGTAGGGTCAATATGTAATTTATTTATATTTCTAGCTGCAACTATAGATGACTGAAGTCAATAGGAATTAAGCATGTGCCTAAAGGTTACGTGTTTCGGTGTTTTGCTGAATAGAGATGCTTTATTGAATAAGGGACATGGTGAAGGTGTCTCCAGTTATGGTCCCAATCCACCTAAGAATTTAAGCATATGTTTAAATTCAAGCCTATAGGTAGTCCTATTATCTTCGACTCAGGTATCTAAAGTTAAATACGTGCATAAGTGCGTTACTGGATCAGGGCCTATGTCCACGATAGGTGGATGTATGCAAGTAAGTCTATGTAAAATTCAAAAGCTTCATTTGGAATTTTCAAAAATTGTCCAATTTTCATGACAAACCCCTGAAACATTATAAACTTTCACTCAATAATGGCACAACTTGCACCCCATAAACGGCCCTATTTTTGAGAAAAAAATTCAAATTTTCCAAATTTCTTTTGGACAGATATCAGTTTGCCTAACAATCAGGCACATTTTTGAATGTATACACTTTTTTTTTTTAAAGGGGAAAAATGCCATTTAATGGAAAACAAAATATTCCAGGTTGCAACGGGACCCAGACTAGGGTTAAAAAATGTTCACTTTTGCTCTAATAGTAGGTTTTTTTAATAACTCCAGTTCTGCTTTAAATACAGTACCTTCTACTGCAGTGGCATAAGAATTTCCGCTTCCAGTTCATTTTAGAGTAGATTGCAAAGTTATATTCATATCAGAACTACAAGGAAGATGGGGATGAGATTGTGGTGTTTGTTAATATAAAGTAACTGGTTTAATATATAACGTCTGTAAAGAGAGGAGATGGGAAAGGTGAATGTTTACTATTCAAAGCCTGCACGCAACCAGCAGTCTAGTGCTTTTAGGACTCTGATCTTGCCACATTTTATGAGTTAACAACACACACTGGAGAATGGAACCCGGTTTGATACATTCCTGAGCTATGTTGTTGGTCATGCAAGGATTCTGTAAGATCACCATCAAAGTTATAGAAAGACTTGGGTCATATGTCAGTATGTTTTGGTGGAGTAACCTGTGGGTCAGGAAAATAATATACACTGTCCCTAAATGCTTGTTAGCCTGGTATTAGACATTGCTAGGCCGGGGCGGCTCCAGGCACCAGTGCAGCAAGCGCGTGCCTAGGGCAGCAAGCCGCGGGGGGGACGGCCTACCGGTCACTGTGAGGGCTGTCTGACTGCCGTGCTTGGGGTGGCAAAAAACATAGAGCCATCCCTGTTGCTAGGGATATGTTTCTGGACTATGTGGACCACTGGTCTGACCCCGCATAGCAGGTCCTGCATAGATGCAGACACAATGCTGACGGGAAATACATCTTTGATTTCCTCCTCAAATGGTGAAAAGACAGACAGACTCCAGGCAGTACAGGTGTCCTCCTGTGCAGAGCATGAGAGCAGCATATGTTATGCCCCAATTCTGTGAAAGAGGAGTAGAAAGCAGGACAGAATTTGTCTTCCTCCCCAGACCCATGGAGGGCTTTCAGATCTCATGTACCATTCTGTTGGATATGGGGCTTTCACAAGAAAATCAGACCAAAATTAATTAGCAATTAAATCTGTGTTATGTCATGCAGGATTTTCCTACTGGCTGCTTAATTTCACAGTCTAGCCCTATGACTATTATTACTACTAATAATCCCTGGCTCTTCTTTAGCACCTTTCATCTTATAAACATAATTAAACCCCTGCAATATTTCTGTGGTGTATCATTATGCCCATTTTATAGATGAGGAAACTGAGGCATAGAGTGGTTCAGTACTTTGCCCTGGGTCACACAGTGAGCTATTGACAGAGCCACGACTAGAACCCTGCAGCCCTGAGTCATCGTTTTACACACTAACCATTAGACCCCACTGCCTTGAGCCCTGTTAGCTTTTCATTCGTTAACCACATTTGCACTGCAAGCATGTTCCATGGCAGTCAGATACTACAGAGGTAGGGTGACCAGATAGCAACTGTGAGAAAATGGGACAGGGGGTGGGGGGTAATAGGCACCTATATAAGAAAAAGTCCCCAAAAATGGGACTGTCCCTTTAAAAACGGGACATCTGGTCACCCTACACAGAGGGCACCACAGTGACTGACAGGCATGGCATGAAAACTTAAATAGAATAGAAGGGGGAACAGAAACGTCTCAGGACCCCCAATAATTTCTGAGCTCTAATCCCTGCTGAATATTGGTCCTATGCCTGTCACATGAAGCAGAGCAAACATCACTAGTGTTAACTTTGGGCCTATCAGGATCACAAAAGCTTCTGAAGTTAACTGTGGACGAACTCCAGCCTCACCCTTTCACCCCATACCTAAGAAGTTATGTCCACGTGAAACAAAACGCAAGAACTAATTTCTTCTCTCAAACATGATTGGGGAAAAAATCATTTCAAAAGGGATTTAAAATTTCCATTTTCATTTTATTGTCAAAGTAAATATATTTTATGAAGAACAAAAGAAAATATACAGAATTGTAACTTATGTACACTGGCTTTATAGATATTTTTGTTTCCAATTTACACAAATTTTGATATGTTATTAAAAGATATTTTATATAGATATGCATCTATGTACAGTTTTATTTACATACATTCATAGGATGTGAGATAAACCAGTCAACAAAAGATAGTTCATTTATATTAATTTCTAGAGGACAAAAGGAATGCATTCCTAAAATAAGGTCGTTTTAGCTCTATTGTTCTTACATACAGTATGTTCTCCACTTCTACCGACTAATGTGAGAATTGCAGTGTTTTATTTCCCATTTGGCTGACAAGAAGACAGACAGATGCCATCTGTGAGTGGAAAGGAAATGCAATATCCTTTATACAATCGTCTCTGATTTTTTGAATTCTATTGTATTCTGAAGATTCCTACAATCAGCAGAGTTAAAAAAACAAAACAAAACAAGAAACACAAACATAATATCGTTGCTGCTACCATCTGATTATTGTTTAAAATTTCCTTCTTAGCCACTTAGGTAGCTACCATATGTATTTGTTTCTACTGGCTACTGTTCCCACCCATTCACACCCCAGCTGCGTGGAGCTCTGACATGGCTGTTAATAATAAAATAATGCTTTGCACTTAAAGATCCCCATCAGCTAAGGATCTCAAAGTGCTTTACAAACATTAATTACGCCTCACAATCTCTCCTGGGTGGGATATAAGTATTATTATCCTCATTGTACAGATGGGGGAACCAAGCTATGAAGAGTTTCAGGGCCCAAGTCTGCTAGGCATCTGCTGAAGTCAGGGGGAGTTAAAGATGCCCACCCAGCACCTTTCAGGATTGGTGCTTGCCCAATGTCACACCGTGAGATGACAGCAGAGCCAGGAATAGAAACTAGGAGTGCTGACATCCAGTCCCCCCTGCTCTAACCAACAACACTCCTGATAATGAAGAGGATCGTTTCAGCCAGAGCCAAGGTGTAATCACTGTTTCCTTAAATATGTAGGCATCTCCCTACGCTCAACACATTGGCCACATAAGATGGAAGGCATGCAGGCAGTTTACTCTGATCCACAGTGAAAGGCCTTCATTCCAGCCCATTTAATCTGGCCTGAGCGTTTGGGGTTTTTGTTTTAAAGACATTGTCAGTTCCAGTTTCCGGGTGCACGAGATTTGCCGACCAAGTTATGAACAGCAAGGACCACTGAAGGATGGTGTGTTAGCGAAATCAGGGACACCAATTCCAATCCCACTACTCCCCACCTCCCAACCGTTCCTCCTCCTCCTTTTGCCTGCCCCCACAAATCCTTGGCTCAGGCGACTGAAAAACAAAGGAGCTGTTTTCATTTCAAAAGGAATTTACTGTTTCCAAACTGGACAAATAGACCAGCTTAATAAAAACTCACAATGAATGGCCCTGTACATGAGCAAAGCCCTCAGGAATGCCAGGACTATAATTAACTAGCAGCAAGTAGCCCATAAATTTGCCTTGTGCAGCAGAAAACAGCTAAAAATAAAACACTGTAATTTCCAAAAAGAAGCAGCAGCAAAGGGAAAGATAGAAGGAAATGAAAATAAAATAAAATAATAATAATAATAATATTAATAAAAAACCCACCCCACCCTCCCCCAAAAGAACTTTGTTCTCAAATTATGTTTGTAGGACACAAAACATTCAGAGGCGGTAGTGTGAAGTAACAGCGCTGACTGTTCTATGGAGACAAATAAATTATCACAAGAAATATAGTGAGCAAAGTGCTGTTGTCGGCTGTTCTGCGATGGACGGGTGGCAAGGGGTAGGCGGGACCAATCAGTTCACTGAGCGCACAGAGCGGTTGCTTCTAGGGAACCGGTGCACCTTGACGTGTTTGGATAAGTGGTCACTTCGAGCAAATTTCTTCTCGCAGACAGGACACTGGTAAGGTTTCACTCCAGAGTGGGAGCGTCTGTGCCGGGAGAGCTCATCTGATCTGGAGAACCTGCAAGCAGAGGTTTAGAAAAGAAAAACCTCTTCAGATTTTTGCTGCTAATTCTTTTATGTCATTGTTACTTTTCCATGGTCCATGCTGCATGCATGGAACTTCATGACAGCAGCGGGGATAGAACTCAAGTCCTCCTGCCGCAGAAGCCCAAACACTTAAGCTAAAGGAGAATCTGTCAGCAGTATAAGGCCCATGACATACACTGGAGCAGCTCTCATTCTATCCAGCAGAGGGCAGCAGTAATACACTACCCACTTCATTGCATCATTCTTTGGTGCTCATATAACTGATAGCACTGACTGGAGACAGGCCCTAAAGGGGTTACCGGTGTATAAGCTTTACCCTAATCCCTGACTACACATACACACAACCCGGCTATTGCATCATCACTACTGACCTGCAGCACCCCGTGCTATTCCAATCCCAAACCTCCCAAAGCTCTGCCAATGCACATCCATTCTAACCCACAGCATCTTCCTTAAACTCCAGTTCCGGGCCTCTCCTGAGCAGAGACCACCACCAATGTTCCAAAGCTAAGGCTTCTGCCAGTCTCACCTGGGCATGCTCAGAATGCTGGAGGAACAGCAATATCCTCAATCATGACTAGTTTGTGAGACTGTGGCCAGATACTATGCGAGGGACTACCCAGGCAGAGTCAGCCATACTTACTCTGAAGCCACTTGGCTTATTGAATTGACCTAAGAATTTGGCCTTTCTTCTTCTCTCCCGAATGATTAAATAAAGGGCTATTAATGTCTCACTGTCAATTCCTGCTCACAGTTATATTGGAGTAAATCCAGAATGACTCCATTGGCTACACTGCAGCTACTCTGGATTTACACTGGTACAAATGGAGATAAGGATTTGGCCCTCAGTTACCAAAATTAGATTCCCCAATATCATTTTATTTTTAGACATCTCCCACCCGCAACTGCCAAGGAATAGTCCCCAAATAGCCATTGTGAATCTCAGAGGCCCACTTTAAACTCCAATAAACCAGCTAATCCTTGGGACCGAGCAGCTGGATTGGTGCTATTTCTAGCCCATCCCAGTGCTGGGAGCCCAAGTGTTAACAATGTCGTGCTAAGACAGTTCCTTCTGGATGCATGCAGAACTGCTGTCCAACAAAGGATGATGAGTGTGAGTTGCCAGAACACTACCAAAGAGTGGTACAGAAAAAGAGTTCTCAAGAAACGATATCAGCTGTTTATTTACCATAAACACATGAAGTCATGAATGTTTGCTGAATAAATAGAGGAAAGGACCTGTGGAAAAAATGTGCATTTGTGGAACAAAAACATCACACCACCACTTGTGTAAATATACTATATTTCTGGAGGGGAAATAAAGAGCACCATTTGAGGTGGAAAGAGACTTTACCACTCACACTCTAAATCCTTCATGCAAGAAAATACATTAAAATTGCAACTAGAGATGATCCCATGCTACCAGTTGATGGTCAGGATCAAATGTTTGGATTTAGGAATTTTTTTTTTATTCTAAGTTTTTATTCCACTGTCCACTACAGAGTGGATAGTTTAGATTTTGCTACAGATCCAAACTTTCCAAAAGTTCTTGAGTGTTGTGATCCAGGGCTGAATTTGGGCCCATCTGCACCCGCGAACACTTCTCTCTCTAACACTGCAGTGGGTTGCCAGCAGTGGGTACCCAGCCATGACCAGAGCCTGGAACACTGACATGACCATGAACTGCTCGTGAAACTCCTTCATTGGGCTGGCCCTGATGCGGTGTCCTTAAAGGAATTATCTTTAAGAACCATGAGTTCATAGGACTCTGAGAAACTTTTCAGGGCAACTCAACAGGCGAGAAAGGGAAGGGCAGCATATACTGTACAGAACTTCGCAGACTGAGAGCTGCTAGGACCTCACCAAGATATCACAGTGGCAAGACATGGGATCAGACATGTTGGACAAGGAACTGATTTGTTTGCGAGGGAAGGTAGTCACTTTCTCAGGTGGAAGAGAAATCCACCTCAGGAGAGGGGTCCTTGAGACACAAACACAGAGCAATCCTCAAGGCAGAGGCAGGAGCTGGAAAATACAGGGCTGCCTCATCCAGGTGTCAATATCATTATAAAACACAAGGAATAGTGGGATGGAGGGACCTGAAACAAGCTCAGAGCAAGACAACTGCAATGGGTCTCTGGCAATTGCACCAAGGGAGAGGGGAGGGAGTCATATGTCAGAGATGTGTGTGTTACGTGAGCCTGGGAAGCTAATGTGAGTTAATATGATAAAAATACACTTAGCCTCATAACGAAGCCCTTAATTGAAGAAGTAAGAATGTTGCAATGCTGTTACCCAGCATTCATGGAAAGATCACCTTACTGGGCCCACAGAAATAAACCCCTCTCTCTCCCCCTGTGTTTACAAAAAAAACAACAACCCAAAAGTTAGAACGGGAAAGCTGATAGAATTCTATTGCCTGCGATATGCAGATATCGGACTAAATGATCGTAAAGGTCCCGTCTCACCTTACAGTCTAAAAAAATTGATGGAATTCCAAATTCAAGCAGGTAGCAAATGCAAAAGAGGCACCACTTACGAATAACCAGCCCAAATTTTATGATCCCAGCACCTAAGAAATAACAGCTCCTCCCAAATAAAGACAGAGGCCGTTTGGAAATCTCACACAAACACAAGGAGCCAAATTCACCCCTCTTGTTATTCCACTGCACTTGATGGAGATGGGCCAAGGATGAATGTAGCCCCGTAAATGCAGAATGACACTGAGTTTGTTGCCTTCCTTCCACTCTACCTGCTGGCTTCAGTCAGGGAGCTGAATCACACTATTTAGCCAGACTGTCAGCTTCTGCTCAAGGGAGACCTATCTTGTAAGAGAGTAATTGCATCTTGTTAGAATTCTCACTTCAGGAACAGGTGAGAGTATTTTCCACCTGAGGGATTTATTTCAAAGGCTGCCAGGAACTTGGGAGGGTCAGCCCTTCACAGTTTCCCTCTGAATTCAGAAATAAAGTAGCCCGGCAGTTGGTGTAACAGCTGTGATGAAAAGGCATTTACTACAATGTTGTTTAAAAAACTCTGGAACCCAGAGAAGAAGGAGATTCAGAGAGCACAATTATGATCATCTAGTCTGACTCCTCCACATTCCAGTTCCATCAGTTAACTAGAAGTTTCATAATAAAGTAGCTTCTTTCTGTTGCCTTTTAAATTTCACTGTGTGCCCTAGCTCTTCTTTGTCTTGTATTATAGGAAAGGGAGCATCCAACTAGCCCTTTCTGTACCACTCCTATGAAACAGGCAGGGGCAATGCCCACAACGTGGCCCCAATCCCGAGAGCTACTGGGGTACACACGGTAAAGAACAATAATGGCCCACATTGTGACCGCAAGATCCAAACACAGAGGTTCTTCAGGCACATCTCCCTTTCCCTTGCAAAAGAAAGGCTCAACCATTTCCACAGCACCTTTCCCTGTCCTCAAGACCCTGCAGAAGCCTCTATGCCATTCTGGGGATGCCAGCTAGGGCAGGGGGTAGAGATTGAGGGAGGAGGGGCTGGAATATGGTAGAGGGATGGGGAAACAACACATTGTATGAGGGCCAGAGCAGAAGTACAGGTTCTCTGTGTGGATGCCCCGGGCCTCCTGGGTGTCCCTGGGGATCCAAGAAGCTTGGGCTTGAGCCTTGTGGCCTTGTAAGTTGGAAGGAAAAGCCTCCTACCTAACAGGATGTTGTGAGGGATCTATTTCTGCGAGGGAATCCTCACAGGGATCTCCTCCCCCCATCCACCTCCTGCTGGAGTTACAGCACCTGAACTTTCTTTGTGTCCTGTAACGCACTGTGTGCTCAGGAAATACACAGCCTCATACAGTAAGCTTCCTTTAGCACAGCCACGGCTTTATACGGTGTAAATGATAATCAGCCCCAAGAATCTTATTCCCATTTTGGGGCCATTGTGGTGCCCTGAGCAGGCAACTCCAGCAACTTGCCTATACTGTATCATTGCCAAGATCATCTTCCTGAGAAGTTACAGCTAACTCAGACTCATCAGCATGGTTTACAAGCCCTTTAAACTCTTCCTTCCAAAGTGCAGTAGCTTGCATCTGTCTTCACCAAATTTCCCAAATAAGATACTGAAATTCAGGTGTGAGTTTCATGGTTTTGCCTTTCTCAGCAGTGGCAGGCAGTAGCCACTAACCTAGATCAGTGGTTCTCAAAGCTGGTCCGCCGCTTGTTCAGGGAAAGCCCCTGGCGAGCCGGGTCAGTTTGTTTACCTGCCGCATCCGTAGGTTCGGATGATCGCAGCTCCCACTGGCCACAGTTCGACGCTCCAGGCCAATGGGGGCTGCGAGAAGGGCGGCCAGCACATCCCTCGGCCCGCGCCGCTTCCTGCAGCCCCCATTGGCCTGGAGTGGCAAACTGCGGCTAATGGGAGCCACGATCGGCTGAACTTGTGGACGTGGCAGGTAAACAAACTGGCCCGGCCCGCCAGGGGCTTTCCCTGAACAAGCGGCTCTGACCGGTACAACAGGATACTGGACTAAATGGGTCACTGGCAGTTTCTGTACTCTGCTGTTTGCATACTGCCTAAGACTGAAAAAAGCAGCTCTCGCTTTCTGTGACGGAGGGACAAAAGTTGGTAGCAGTCAGCTTCAGAAAGGAACTTGGGAATCCCACGCTGTATGCGGCTTGCAAAAGTTTAACCTTGCTCATCACTTTGCTTTGCTACACTTAAAGCTTACACAGGGTTGGTTGGGAGTTTTAGTTCAGCTGTTCTGCCCATACAGGAAGAAGGAAAAGCTTCTCCCCCGCCACCCCACCCGCAGCTAAACGCTATGACTCAAATTATACCAAGCAGCATTTTTCTAAATTGTTATTTTCCATTAACTCCGATTTTAAGTTCATTTTGTTGAAAAAGAAATACACCATACACACACGGAAAAGAACGTGGAAGAAACCAGCAGCAGCATCTCAGTGCATAAATTCATTTGGGATGATATAATACTAAGAACAGACTCCAGATGTACTTGACTTAGTCATGTGAGCTCACAGCTCTCCCTGAACTTCTGGAAAAGGTAAACATGCTTTACTGATGAAAGGGGACTGTGTAATTCAGTGCTCACTTGGCTCTGGCTATGGTATGTCACTGCAGATCTGACTTTGATGTCTGAGAAGAACACATGGGAGTGCTGGAATCTCAAGCTTATTCTAAGAGATTTGTGATAGAGGGAAACAGCCCCTTTGAAAGTCTGTCCCCTCCTTCGTCTATGTTAGTGATGGGCCCCAGCTGAAAAATTTCAAACTGGGATCAGAACTCATTCAAAGTTATGGGGCATGTGGATCCAGGGTTCTGGCTTATGCTCTCAGTCATGCTAAATGCAAAGATTCAATCACAATGACGGGTTTGGAAAAACATCCAACTGCCAGAAACAAGCCTTTTTTGGATGGAAGTTATTTAATCCCTAGCCTCTACTGGGCTTCTGCCCATAAAGAGTTGTGGCTGTCCACGCAGTTGGCTCTTTAAATTACAGGTTCTAGATGCACTCACCATCTGGATCAGTACTTCTCTTTACATGCCCTTCCATTGCCCTTGTGGTACTTTTGCTAGGCACCATTCACACTAGACTTTAACCCTTGTAAGGTTGTTGACATACAGAGGCTAAACTCACCCTTGGTGTCACTACATGGAAGGCATCCAAGAGAACATTAGACCATATTGCTGCATATATATTCCTAATCATTCACCTTTGACTGACATTCTGGAAAATACCAGTGTTCTCATAAGATACATCCACAGAAGATCCACAAAAGAACAATTCACAAACAGACTCCTGAGGTCTGATCTTGGACTGCTGAAATCAATGGGGAATCAGAAAGAGGCAGAATCAGAGCCCTGGCAAGTCACCTTCTGACCTCAAATATGCCTGGGTCAGGATCATTGTCACTGGTGGTTAGCTGAATACTGCAAATCAATTTCCCACAAACATTCATTCAGCTTTTTAAAGGAATTAAATTTTGGCCACATTTCAACCCTTTGTTTTGTTCCCTTTCCACGAAAATCTGGACAATCAAGTTTCACTAGTATCATGGCTCATGGAAAACAAGCGTTAAGTTTGCACAGATGCTAGCGAAAAGCAAATCTTAAATATGCTCCTTGCAAACATTGACACTGAAAGCCAGATAGAAAGGACTATGCTCATGCAATGAGAGCATGGAAAAATGCCATGTGATTTATGTGACCAATCACAACTGAGCGACACAGTCGAATTTCAGTTCATTTTGAATCGCAAGGCTGGAAGTAAACAAAGCTTGTGAAAAATTTCATTGGTAGCAAATAAATTAAGGAAAATTGCAATCTGCTCATGGAACCTCCATGAATTAGAAAAGGGAGGAAACTGATCACAGGAAGTATTAGCTACAAATGATCCACTCAGCCCTAGTGGCAATGGGGAAACCTCAGTGTATCAGTTTCAGGAAAGGGACAAGATTCAGACTACTTCAGATCTTTTCCTTTCAAACAAATTCATCCATCCCTAGTGATCTCATATCTTGCATATCTGCATTTTTACTCATATCTCTCCTGTTATCTCTTCAGTTCACAATGAGTGTGACACATTTCCTAACCACTCATTGCTCATCAAAGCACTACAGGATGTTTTTCCTTTTGCCAAGTCTTTCGAATACTTTTGGTGTAATTTAACAGGAGGGATTTGAGATGATGTTTGGTTTTCATCACAGAGTATGAAGTTTCATTGCTAGTGTTAAGAAACTGGCTGGGTTCCAGAGCGGATTGAAAAATGGAGGAGAAGGGGTTTCCATGGAAAATTTCAACTTTTTAATCACAAAAGAAATATTTGTCAGTTTCCAGTTTTCCAATGAATAATCAAAAATTTTGAGGAAAGCTGACAAATTCGGTGAAAATTTTTACTTACTCAAAAACTCAGTTTTCCATTGATGAAAAGTTTTGACAGAAAAATTTTTAACCAGCCCTTCTGATTATAATAATACATAATATATGGAGATATACCTATCTCATAGAACTGGGAGGGACCCTGAAAGGTCATCGAGTCCAGCCCCCTGCCTTCACTAGCAAGACCAAGTACTGATTTTGCCCCAGATCCCTAAGTGGCCCCCTCAAGGATTGAACTCACAACCCTGGGTTTAGCAGGCCAATGCTCGCTTTTGAAATGTACAATATTCAGGAGTACATCTGGATGGGCACTAATATACATTTCTAAACCAGAACATAAAATAAACATAGATTAAATTTGAGTAGCATATCCTATAATGAGATAGCATTCCCAAGCTAGTATTTTATTCTGGAAATTACAAAATTGCTTATAATGTTTTAAAATTTTATTAGGGTCTTATTAAGCATATATGTCGTTCATAGCCCTTCACTGATTGTATTTGACCTCCATGTCGTTGAATCTACAAATACATACAACCATGTAGTATTAGTGATGAAGTGACTATGCTCCAATGACCCAATTTGCTTTGTGTATCCTAGTCTGCATCAATGGTACATTGGAGATGGTATGCTGCAATGGGACCAATGAATATACAAAGCAATGCCTGCAGTAGCAAGTCTACTCTGGCCATTATGAAATGAAATACCAGTCACTGGGGTATTTTTTTAGACTTTTGTACAGTTAATGTCAACAGTAATGCTATGCTATTCAACGCACCAAAGTCCCTGGATTATCTAACATTAAGAGAAGTGGTTTTAATTTTAAAACCAACCAAACAGGTTTCAGAGAACATGGTTTATAAATTAACTTGGTTCAAACCTGTTTGGCTGGCGTATTATGTCAAGTGAATGATATGTTTATTGGATACAGAGTATGACTGCATCCCAGTACTGACCTCCATCCACAACCGGGCCACGTGCATGCAAAAGGTTTTTCTCCTGTGTGTCTCCTCAGGTGCGCTTTCAAATGGCTGCTTTTAGTGTACATCTTGGTACAGCCAGGGAAAGAACATTTGTGCATTTTAATGAGTTCTGCCGCAGGGTTCTTTGGAAATTTCTGGCCCATGATGATCCCCGTTTGACCCTGGATCATGCCTCCTGGCCCAATAGGCTTTGCAGCAATAGGGACTGGAGCTATGCGGACAAATTTAGAGGACAAGTTCAAATTGGATGACTGAACAATCTGCGGCACAAGTGCAAATGTCTGTCCTTGAATGTTGACTAGGAGCTGTGCAATTTTAATATTCTCTTGGGCTGGTCCTTGTGAACTAGGGCTTGTATTTGACTCTTGTTTGATCTGTACAGGCTGAATTTGGAGCATGACAGGTATCCCTCCCTCCAGGGATAGAGCTCCGTTTGAAACATCGCTACCTTCTGTTGAGCTACTTGATTGTTCACTTTTACTTTCTTTTAAATTAACGCTAGGTACCAGATGGTCTTTTTGCTGGACTGAAGCAACGGAAACTTGGCTGCAAGCTCTCAAGTCCTTGGTCTCACTTTTAGGCCCTTCCTTGAGATCCAACTCCATGTTTTCTTCCAGAAACTCCTCAATCTCCTCAAGTGTGGGCTGAAATGGTCCAGAATCTTCCATATCCACTGCGAACTCAGGCAATCTGAAATACTCCTCTTTCACTACTGGTTGAAGTCTCCTTTTGTCCCACCAAGAAGCAGGGGTGTTCCCCAAGGAAGCCTGGGACAGTAAATAATCTAAAATATTATCTTGACTTTCAGCGCTAGATGTGCTTCCATAGCTAGAGCTGAGAACCTGGGAATCAGGACTGGAACAAGAGCAAAAGCTTGAAGAATCGCTGTCATCTTCTGACACAGGTGAGGGCAGCATCTGATACGACCTCCCACCGGCCATCATGTCCCCAAAGTATCCAACGGGGGATCTTGTGGATGAAAAATATTCATCAGCAGGAAGCAAGTGATCCACCATTCCTGGATAATCTGTTACGGATATCCCACCAGCATATACCACACAGTGAAAGTTCAAGCGAAAGCCTGAATATAGGGATCAAAAATATTGACAGTCAGAAGTCAGGTTTAAGCATTCACCTCCATGCACTAGAAGACCTACAAATCTCTCTAGCTCAAATGAGAGTCAATGGCATGCAGTTTCACTGGGAACACATGTGGCTACATGCTTTCATATTGCTGTATCACCCCCAAAGGATTCTGAGTGCCTTGGCATTTTCCAAGATTGCACCACATGTTTGCAAAAGAATTCTTTCAGAAATCATTTCACAACTATGTGTTCCTTAGATTTACAGTGCCTCCTCAGACTATTACTGGCAAGAGGAAATACATTTATAATCTTTTGCCTGACAAGGAAACAGAGAGCCAAAGAAGGGAATGGAAAAAAAAAAAGTGTTGAAATTTTTACCACCCAAAAAACAAATAAAAATAAAGTTTATAACTTGGGTCCATAAAAGAACACAATCCTTTTCTTATCTTATAGCTTTCCATTGACTTTATTATTAACTTTCTCAGTTATTCAAATATAGGCTAATCAGCATAATGCAAGGACCAATCTGCCAGGAGCCAAAAATATTTATTGTGCTTCAGCATTTACTAGTACGATTTTCCTTTCCAGATGTAATGAATCAGTTTGCTAACGTCATCATCACCTGCATCACTCTTAATAAGACTGGCACCAGGCTGGGCTAATTACCATGTGCTGGCAGGCCAGCTGATTGTGCTAGTGTCCCCTCATCACTCCACGCTGCCTGTCACTTGGCTACACAGCCCTGAGATGATCTAAACATGGGGCCAACTTCTAAATTGGGAACTTGGAACCAAGCTCTTGCGTAGGATTTCAACTCATTGTGACTACAGCAAGTGACTGCATTTTGTTATATTCGGAACATGCAATTTAGTAGGGCCAACGGGCCTGATCCTTCGACCTCTTACTCACTTGAGCATTCTGATTGAACTCATTGGGACTACTCACTTAAATAAAGAACTACAGGTTCAGAGGCTTATTTTGCAGTTCTCTCTTAGGCGAAACTCCCTGTGAAGGCAATGCAATTCCGGCAACCCTCAATTCAGGCACAACAATCTTACTGGGAGTTTTATCACTGCTTAACAGCTGCACAATATAACCCTTAAAGAGCTAAAATGAAGATGTGCAGACTTTGCTGAACACTGGCCCTGGGTCCTCTGCTCTGCTCAAGGTGACTGACTGGAAACTGAGCTGCATATGTACATCATAAAACACGCCTCTCTGTGGAAGGTATGTGGATTGCAGAGATAGATATCATCTGATCTGTCAATAGGGGTGTATTTGAGAGTGAGAGAGAGAGAGAGAGAGGGAGGCAATCAGAAGGCATGTGACCTAGCATGAAGGAAATGCCAGTCAGGCTTGTTGCACACTCTCATTTTCCACAGGCAGTGTTGCTGTGCTGAAGACACTTTGCCATGAATAGTCAATAGCGTCCAGTTTTGGGAAGGGTGGGAGATGTTTATTATTACTCCAGGGCACCTATGCTGCCTGATCTGCAAATTGCCTCTGTCTCTGTCTTCTAGGAGGAAATAAAAATAAATCTGTGCACTCAATCTATAGCTGATGCAGTGCACAACAACCTTCACAAGCTCCATCAGCATCAGTCTATTAACCTTCCACAGGAAGCAGAAGTAAAAACACACTTCTTAAAGCTACAGCTTCCTTATTTATGTTTATGGGTGGAGGAGGGTGGTGGTGGTTTTGAAGAAAGGGGAATTAAAAGCCAAGTTGTACATTTTCCTGGTTTGCACCCACTGTCAGTCATCTGTTCCTGCAAACTGATAATGAAATACTCACATGTGCTCAAAGTGAGGAAGTTCAAACAAAGGTTAGTGTCCATGTTCTGTGACCTTAGCCTATGATCATTTCTAATGGTAAAAGTGATTGCCAGCATACCTGAAATATGCCTAGGGGACTACGAATCAGATTTTGATCTCAGTGCAAATTAAATTACTCCAACAGAAGTCAGTGGAGCTGACCAGTGAACAGAGATCAGAATCTGGTTCTGTGAATCTTTTATTGCTTCCAAAAAGGGTTCTCTGATTAATGTCTTGCTTGCCTCAAAAGCAGAGATAACCACAGTTTAATGTGGGGCAGAAGGGAGGGTGCATTCCCATATGGCAGATGGCTTCAAATCCTGCCTATTCCCATTTTGCTCCAGCTCCAACCTCTCACTGCTGTTACTGTGACCACAAAGATTTTGCACACAAGACATTTTTACTAAAGAGAGCGAGAGAGTGTGTGTGTGTGAGAGAGAGAGAGAAAGTATCTGAGTGACAGCAAACTTAGCATAGGAAAAAAAAAGGTTTTTTGTAAAGATTTCTTAAATGTCCATTTCAATCTGGAAGCCATTCTTGCTCCCACTGAAATCAATGACAAAATGTCCACACTACTTGCCAATCTAAAGAGCAAAAGACCCTCAGTACCTTGGCTAAAGATATGGCCCAAGCCAGACATTTGCAAAGAAACAAGAACCAGTTAGGTTAATACAAAATAATGCTTATATCATATATCTAACATTTATATACAACATTTGCATCCATAAGCATTCCAAAACTATTTATAGAAAAGGCTTCTCTTCTTATGCCATTGAAATGCAGCCACCTCTGGGGTGAAGTGTAGCAGCTGATTAACAGTGCACAGCAGCACTATGGTCTCCAAGTTTCAAAAGAGTTCTCAGCTTTGTTTTCTTGCATGTTATGCCAGAGTCACATTGTTCTGTTTTACAGTTGTCTGTTTAGTGACTGGCTAATAAAAGGATGGAACACCTATGCCCCTGTACAGCAATGTTTCAGAGAAACCATTACAAGAGTCAAGGCCTCAGAGCTTGCTGAAAGATAGGCAGAAATTTAGCAGCCTGTTATTCCTGGTGATGTTTACAACATCATAGGAAATATCATATCACACAACTGATAACACCAAGAGCATATTTTGCCAATTGGTGCTTGCTAAGCCGTTGTGGATATGCTGACAACCATTTTCCAGGGAAATCGCTATTCTCTGAGCATTAAAAATGTGTCAGGGCCTGATCCTGCTCCAATTGGGCCATAAAACTGACTATAAAGTGAGGTTGAAACACAGGGGGCCTTAAATTTCAAAGGAGCCAGTTAACATATAAAGGCATTTTTAAAATAGAAAAACCCATGAGCCGCCTGGGAGCTGCATTACTGAAATGAGTTCTCCAAAGTAATCTTCCTGGTATGGAGCCTCTTGACAGTCCATTTTACAATACAGAGTAGTCATGCCAAGGATTACCTCCGCAAGGTGCACTAAAGAGAGGATGCATTTGATACAGCATGATATGGTGATCGCCACTTTTAAAGGGGTGGTGTTAGGGGGCAGCCTAAGGGTTATCTATATTAGCATCTGAAGAAGTGGGTTTTTTTACCCACGAAAGCTTATGACCAAATAAATCTGTTAGTCTTTAAGGCGCCACTGGACTCCTTGTTGTTTTTTGAGCGTTAGTAGGAAGCTCAGAAGAATGCTTTCCAGCTCGCGTGGTTTCCCCATTCCACTGCTTGCAAACGCCCCAGAGCCCTTTTGGAGAAAGCAGGCTTCTGAAAAGCTCCTCCACTTTCCCCTGCCTTCTTAAAGAGGAAACACTTTAATCTACAGCAACCGCTGCCGCGCTGGGGAAGCAGTCATCCGCTGCCTCGCTCGCATACACATGCCGATCACACATTCGTTCCAGGCATTTCTATGCTAATTTCTCAATCGGGAATGGATCCCTTGCCACTGATTCGTTGCACGGGGCAGAAAGCTGGGAGAGGGGGTGCTGCATTTCAGAGCCCCTCGGCCTTGCCAGGCTGTGAGTCCGGATTTGGGGTTGCCTTTGGGGTGTGTTTAGCCCACCTGGCGGGGCTAAGAAGCGAAGGAACCCAGTGCATTGCTACTGCTCCCCCCCCCACCCTTTCCTCGGCCCCAGAGCTCTGCTTGACCGAGAGTAACCCTACCTCGCTGCTTCTCCTGTCAACATTACCATAACAGCCTGCGAGCAGAGCACACACAGCCTCCTCCTCCTGCTCCCTACCAGCGCCTTCCCGAGCAGCCCCGGCCGGCCTCCCAGCGCGCCAGGGGGAGATGGGCTTGAGCGTTGCAGCCCGATGCTCTCCTTTTTTTGGGGGGGGGGCTCCCTTTTGCTCCTGTCCGGAGCCACAAAACAACCGACCTCTGCAAGCCACATCCATGCATCGCAACGCCGCGTGCCGTCACCCCCGTGCAAAGAGTGTGTGTGTGTGGGGGGGGGGCTTTAACCATCTACTCGTTATCGTTCTGCAAAGAGCTAGTCCCCCGTGTCTAGGGTGGGGGGGCAAAGGGGGGCAGCTCTCCGGACGCATTGCATCGGCAGAGAGCGGGCAGGCTCCTGGCTTTGAGAGAGGGGTGATTCCCGGCCCCGTCTTGCAACTGAAGCGGGTCTCAGCGCTGGGCAGAGAGAATTGTCCCTTCTCTGCCAGTCCGGCCAACATATGGTTGTAAACATCGCCCCGGCTCCTGCCCGACCAGCTCCCCCGCCCCCAGCAGAAAGAGGAGCCCGTGTAAACACAGCCAGCTTGTGGAGTCTGCTCTTCCAGAGTCCATTGGGACTGGATGGCACGAAGGTCCCCCCCCCCACCCCTTTGCACGGCACTTCAACAAGTCCTGATCTCCTCCTTCCCCCTCCCCAACGCTGATCCCAGAGCTTCTCTCCAGCATGTCCCGTCCCCCCAGCAATCCCGGAGATCTCCTTCCCTGGACCCCGGGGCTCCACGCGCCCCCCGGGCAGTGCTAACCCGGCCAGCAGCCCCAAGCGGGCCGGATGCTCTACGCTACGGGACACCGTTCTGCCCCCGCCCTGCGGGTGAGAAACGTGTCTTTACTCCTTACCTGAACTTTTCTGCACAGACACACACACCAAAAAAAACAAAAAACACCCCAGATCAAAGGCAAGCAATATCCCAGCGGGCAGCAGCTCCTCGTGGCATTCAGAACCAGCGCAACACCCCAGCAATCACCAAACGCCACAGCGCTCCTAAGGAGGGGGCCTGGCCGCTTGTTAACTGTTGTCCTTGAAAACTGCCTGGAGGCAGGGTCCCGATTTGCAACAGCAGTGGCAGGGCTGCTGATGTGTCCTTTAGCTCCCCTAGTGTAGTACTATATCCCCATCACATGACTGCCAGGGAGGTTATCACAGTGAAGGCAGGGGAAGGCTTGAAAGAGGCTCGACCAAAGCTGCTCACCTCATTGGCCAAAGCAGAAGTAAAGGGGCTGGCCGGAGAGTTTTGTCGTCAATGGAAGCATCTGGCACCCTATCCTCTCTGCCTCTGCCTTCCCCTCCGCCTCCTCTCCCTCTCCTGCCTGCCCCTCCTGTTCTGTATCACAGCCAACCAAGCTCAGGCAGGAATGTTTGGCTGCTTCCCTGCTTACTCTATCTCTGAGCCATGACAGTGAAGATCATGTGAATGAGAGAGAGAGAAATATATTTTGAGGACTGCAAAACCTGGAAGAAACCACATGGAGAATTTTTCTCTAACAGGGCTGGGTCTGGGTTGGTGGGAGGGTGTAGGAGGATGGTTGGAGTGGTATTGTAGTCTGCAAAGCTGGAAATGTTCAAGACACATGCCAGTCTTATGAATGGATCTGAATCCATTTCCTTCTTGCCTTCTCTGTCCTTGGTTTCTGATGGGCCCTGGGCTGCTGCTGTTTGGAAAGGATGCAAGACAAACATGCACTGAACCTGATTCAATTATTTTCAACAAAATGTCGATCCACTTTTAGCAGAGGTGTTTGAACACTGGGAAAAGGACCATGTCAAAATTTAAAATGATTAATCACAGCAACAAATACTCTCAATTATTTGCATTAAATATCACCAATATCAAAGCCCAACCGTGTTGTTCTGTGCTGTGGAAACACATACCAAGGGACAGTCACTGCCCCCAATGAGCTTATCTCCTAAATAGACAAGGCAGGAAAAAGGATCTGAGAAAGGAAGCATGATTATCCCTGTTTGACAGATGGGGAAACCAAGGCACAGAGAGATTAAGCCACTTGCTCAAGGCGGAACAGAAAGTCTGTGGTAGAGGTAGGATTTAAAGCCAGATCTCCTGAGTCCCAGCCTTAACTACCAGACCATCCCTCCACTCAATTGTTTTTAAGTGCCTGCCAATAATCTGCTCAGCCTTGTGTCAGACACAAAATACAGACAGTCCCTACTTTGAAGAAGTTATAGCTTAAATAAGACAACAGAGACACAGAACAGAGAGAACTCAGTGGGAAATTGCTCTTGCTGACTCATTTCTTGGGAGCATCTCAGAAGGAGCGTATGAATGGACAGAGGATAAAGGCTTGGTGCACAATAGCTGGGAAGATATCCTAATCAGAGGGGTGGGGTAGAAGAAGACATGGAGCCAGCTGTATGTAGGGGTGGGTGGGTGGATAATGCACAGAGGCTGGCATCATTAGGGGAGGGAGAGGGCAAGGTATAATGTGATAAAAAATCAGGTCAGAGAGGAGTGGAGCTATGCAGAACCTAGAAGCCGAAGGGGAAGATAAGATTAAACTTGTGGCGAAAACAGGTGGGGAGGGGAGCTAGAAGGATTCACAGGAAGAGTTTTAAAGAATATTTATTTTTGTTACTAATACGATTATAATACATTGTTAAAAGTGAAAAAAATCAATTTTTTTCATCATTTATGATCAGTTTTCCTTCTGGTTGGTTTGGGTTAGTTTTTTTGCATGTCACCTGTTTACCCAGTGAAACTAGACTGAACTCTTTCATTTTCCAGCTGTTCTGCACACATACAGCTGTGTTTCAGTTTCCAACATTGCAGGGGTAGGTTTAAATTAAAAAAATAAGTGTTTTCACTGGAAAAAAAAAGAATACACAGACACACACGTACACACATTTCAATGAATAGTATATAAATACACACTTGATATATGTTAGATATATGTGAAAATATCAAGGGCTAAATGCAATGGAGTTACATCAGCCAAGAATTTGGCCTCAAATATTTTTATCCACATTAGACTTTGCAAATTCCCTACTTCATTGTTTACTTTAAATTCAAGTGCTATACTGCTTGAGAATGGGTGAAATACACCACCATGCAAAGGGACCAGGAACAATGCTTTTGCACCATCTAAGTTCCAAGACCTCAAAATAGGATCCAAGTGGGACTTAAATAAGACTCCTGTGGACCCCACAGCACAGATGTGAAATTCACACACACTGTAATTAATATCTTAGGAACGACCAAAATCAAGTGTTCTTTATTAGAGCCTTCATTTTAGCATCATTATGACTGAAATATAAGGATGGGGACGCAGTAGAGGACTTTCAGGACTGTCCTCCACATGCTAAAGATGATTCCTTTATGTTTTATTTTATTAACAGATCCATTCTTTTATAACAACAATCTTATAAACCTTATTCTACAACATTAATAGAAATACACTTTGTATATACACAAACACACAATTATAAATTGGCCTATAGAAGTCCCTAAAGTTGTATTGATGAGACCTGCTACCTGGCGCTTTCTTCAACTTAGTGCTACTGATCACATACTGTGGTTGATGCATTTCTACTTTGTCTTCCTTTTGGCCTGGTCCACACTAACCTCCCACTTCAGACTAAGGTACGCAAATTCAGCTACGTTAATAACATAGCTGAATTCGAAGTACCTTAGTCCGAACTTACCGCGGGTCCAGACGCGGCAGGGAGGCTCCCCCGTCGATGCCGCGTACTCCTCTCGCCGAGCTGGAGTACCGGCGTCGACGGCGAGCACTTCCGGGATCGATCCCAGAACATTGATTGCCTGCCGCCGGACCCGGAGGTAAGTGTAGACGTACCCTTTCTGTCTTGTCAGTTGGTAGTGTTAGTTAAAAGCTTTCATTATCTCATGTTTAGGTCCAAACTTTTATTTTTCTTACATTTAAATACACAATCTGTTACTTAGTTGTATCCCCTCTACACAATATCATGCTTTTCTCCTTCTTCCTCCTATCTATTTTCCTTACTTTAATATCTTGACTTTGAGTTTAATGTTGACAATTGTTGAAGGGGTTTCTTGATTCCTTAGGATTCGAAAAAAGTTCTCAAACTATCAGGTTTGATGGTGGGTGATGCCACTCTTCCAGCAAATTTCAGAAAGTTCTACCAGACTTCTAAGTAGTTATATATTTTTTTACTTGTCTCCTGTAGGTCTCTGACTTGATAAGTGACCGGAATTTCCCACACTTTTTGATGCCAGTTAATAGTTTTAGGGGAGTCACTCCTCTTCCACCACCTTGCTAGAGTAATTCTAGCAGCAGCCAGGAGATGAGTGATCAGTTCTTTATGACTTTTATAAGATGCAGGGATTTCAGGACAATTTAATAAAAATACTAAGGGGTTTTCTGACAGCTAACACCCAGTTCTCTTATGGCTTTCCAAAATGTCTTAATTTGTGGGCACATCTAACGTACCTGGAGAAATCCCCCCATTTCATTACATGCTCTCCAGAATTTGCCTGTCCTTGTACTATAAATTCGTTTAATTTTATGGGGAGTTAAGTACCACTGATAAAGAATTTTAATGTAATTTTTGATTAATGTGTTTGTTGAGGTGTAGGGACTATAGCTCCATTTGTTCTCCCATTCCTCAGTTTTGGTGTCTATGCTACATCAACTTTCCAACTTTTCATGATTATTTCCTCTAAGTAACAGCTAGAAATTACTTTGTATAGAACAGAAAGCAAGCCTGGATGTAGAAACGATAGAGTGAGTAATTTTTCAAATTCCATCAATATTCTACTTTGGTTTGCCTTAGTAGAAGGAGGTTGAAAAATGTCTGTTGCAGGCATTGATATAATAGAATTTTGTATCAGAGGGGTAGCCGTGTTAGTCTGAATCTGTAAAAAGCAACAGAGGGTCCTGTGGCACCTTTGAGACTAACAGAAGTACTGGGAGCATAAGCTTTCATGGGTAAGAACCTCACTTCTTCAGATGCAAGACATTGCATCTGAAGAAGTGAGGTTCTTACCCACGAAAGCTTATGCTCCCAGTACTTCTGTTAGTCTCAAAGGTGCCACAGGACCCTCTGTTGCTTTTTAATAGAATTTTGGTGTCTTTTGCAAGTTGTATTTCATCAAGTAATTTAAATATTTTATCTCTGAACAGTTGGCTGAATTTTGATATACCTGTAAGTTCTCAATTGTCAAAATTTCCCAGGCTTTTAGTGGGGTTACATTTTATATTATCTACTATGGATATTAGAGGTGATGGGTATGGGCTTGGCTTTCTAAAGAAGCTATCCAAAGTTTCTATTGTTGCTTTAATGAAAGGGTGGCTAAATGTTGATTTTGGCCTATAGGTTTCTTTATACAAGGGATCATATGGAGTTGACACCTTTATAGACTCATAGACTTGTAGGACTGGAAGGACCTCAAGAGGTCATCTAGTCCAGTTGCCTGCACTCAAGGTAGGACTACGTAATAACGAGACCATTCCTGACAGGTGTTTGTCTAACCTGTTCTTAAAAAACCTCCAGTGACGGAGTTTCCACAAACTCCTTAAGCAATTTGTTCCTGTACTTAACTACGCTGACAGTTAGGAAGTTTTTCCTAATGTTCAACCTAAACCTCCCT